TGTCTGTGTTCATTAAGACGCCGCTAAACCCGACGCCGATCAGGAACTCGCGTCGTCGTGTTTAAGAGAATGTCACTTCGGGAACGCGTTTTGAATTCGCGTGATAGAATCAGTCAGAGAGTTACGTATCGGGAATAATCGATCAAAACTCTAGAGGTACACGGTGGTTATTGTAAATTTTACTTTACGGGTCTCTAAATATACATTGTATTTCACTATTGTTACAATTCGAGGACGTGAACCTTCTTTGATTACTTTTATACATAATTAATTAGTTAAATAAAAACCTAGTGTTACGTTATAGTTAATTGTGTGTTTTATTTTCTTTTCATCTCATCACTCCCTGGTATCTCCACTGTATAAAAGCTACCCGTACTGGCACTAGTGGTCTTTCAAACACTTTAAACTTTGGGGGTGGCGCCCGAGGAACCGAACCAAGGCAACTCGGCGTCCGTGAGCGTTCTCAAAAACGGGGGAGTCTCACAATATAATTAAAATAATCATAAGAAAATGTGAAAGCTGTGGCATTAGAGTTGTATCTACCATCTGTGATCAGGGTTCAAGCAACCAAGCTGCCATTAATGGTTTAGTGGCAGCAACAAGAGCAAAATATCTAAGACTTGGCCAAAACCATACTGCATTTAATTTTGAAATTGATGGTAACAAAGTCATCCCACTATATGATATACCTCATTTATTTAAAGGCATTAGAAACAATTTCTTAAAATATAATATTCACTTCCTAGAAGGTGGAAGTGAAAAAGTTGCCAAGTGGAATGACATTTTTGTTGCCTATCAAATTGATTCTTATTTAGGCGACCTTAGACTCATTCCAAAAATTACAGATACACATGTAAATGCGTTGAAAATTCGTAAAATGAAAGTATCCAAATGCACTCAAGTTTTTAGTCGGTCAGTTGCAGCTGCCATAAATGTGTTTGCTTTATCAGGTATTTAAAAAAAAATGACAAAGTATTTTTTAACTTAATTCAAAATATTTTTTTATGATCCACATTTTAGGATACAGCTAAACTTTTTCACTTTTTGGTTACTTTGTTTGATAGTTTTAATGGAAGTACATTAAATCAGTTTCATGTGGATTGTGCATTTACTAAAAATTCGCCTCATGTAGATTTTTGGAATGAAGCTTTAGGTCAGTGAAGTTTCAAAAAAATAATGCTTTTGTTATACCGCCAAGTTTAAAAATTTTTATCAAATCAATTTCGAATTTTAAAGAGTTCTTTAATGATTTACGACAGTTGGGATTTACTTCTTTAATTCCACGGTCTTTTAACCAAGATCCTCTCGAAAACTTTTTTTGTAAAATACGACAAAGAGGATTCAGAAATAATAATCCAACTGCAATATGTTTCTCACAGTATTATAAGAGTTTATTAGTAAATGGCATAACATCTAAACATTCCATTAGCGCTAATTGTGAAGATGATGGTTCTGAAATGTTTCTAACACTACAAAGATTTGTTTCGCAGGTTTGGTACATAGAAATATTTATTTTATGTCTATTTTGATTAATAATTTGTTTTAGGGATTACCAGAACTTGAACTTGAAGAACAACTAACTGAAAACTACTGCCGAGTACCACAAAATCTCCCTAAGTCTATAAAGGCAGTTGAACGAAAGCTTTAAATTATGTTAGTGGGCTTGTTGCAAAAAAAATCGAAGGAAACAATTGTTCTTGTGTGCAGTCTTTTTTCAAACAATCTACAACAGAAGATTCTATTAATGACGAATTTACGAAGTTTAAAGAATACATGATAAACAGCGGTTAAGGTATATCAATAATAATTTTTATTTAAAAATGCAAGAGTCCCTGATTATTATCAAGTTCATTTTTAATAGAGATTTATTTAAAAATGGCGTAGCTGATTATGCCTTGAAGGTCCTCAACGAAAGAGTGTCCTTTACAGATTGTCATCACAATGATATGATTAAATCTAAAGTTTTTAAATATTTTATTAAATTGAATATGTTTAATTACTGTACCCAACTAAATAGGATTATTAAAGGTTTAGATCAAAGAAAAGTGCCACAAAATGCTCCAAAAATATTTTTAGCAGCTCAAAAATTGCATCAAATGGGTCTAAAGAAAAATAAGAGGTATACATTTTGTGTATTTTCCTGACTTTAATGGGCTTATTTTATGCTATTTATTATTTATTCTACAATTGGTAGTTGTTTAGAGGCAGTAAATTTACAGTTTTTGCTGTAATTTTTTATTTTTTATTTATCACAACATAAGTATAATTTTTACTCCTAATAAAACAATATACTATTTTTACTTAAAAGGAGAACCTAAAGTATCTAAGTCTCTTAAGATTGTATCTACTTATTTTAAATCATGTTTCTTTTAATATAGTAAGCATTGAAAAAAACTGGCACGAGATTTATTAAAAATATTATATAGACGTTTTTTATTTACTTTTTTTATGATATTGCTATCATCTAGACTAGGGTTACAAAATAAAAAATAGACGACAAGAGGGTAAAAAAGCGCCACAAGCGAAACATTTTTTGGAACTAAATGTCAAGAATTTAAACAATAGTTTAATCAAAGTAAACGTCATGCGGTTTATGGCTTTTCTTTATATAGGATCCTATATCTCCTACGCGAAGCAAAGGGCTTCAGTGAAAGCTCTCCATCGGGTTCTGTTTTTGGCAGTTGTTTTTGCTTCCTTCCATGTTGACCCTACTTGTTGAAGCTCATCCAGTATGGAACGTCTCCATGTTTGAGCAGGTCGTCCTTGCTTTCTTTTTCCTTGGGGATTCCACTCCAACGCTGATCTCGCTATATTACTATCAGGTTTCCGCAAAGTGTGACCTATCCAACCCCATTTTCTTTTGCGGATTTCAATGCCTATGTCTTGTTGGTTTGTAAGATGAAGCAGGTCGATGTTATGTATAGTGTCTGGCCAAAAGATTTTAAGTATTTTCCGCAAGCAGCGATTGATAAATACCTGTGGACGGTTGATGGATATTTTTGTCACTCTCCATGTCTCGCAGCCATATAATAAAACTGGTATGACGTTGGAATTGAATATTCTTAATTTTGTTTGTATGGAGAGTTGACGGGAGGTCCAAACTGATTTTAGTTGCGCTGCGCCTTCCTGATCCTGCTGACAATATCCGCGTCTGCGCCACCGTTTGCTGTTACAATACTTCCCAGGTAAGTAAACTATGTTACATTCTCGACACGTTTGATTCCTACATTGAATGGAGTGTTGTTGTTTGTGTTAATGCGCATTGAGTTTGTTTTGTCGATGTTTATGCTTAATCCTACTTTGTCTGCTTCTGTTTCTAGACGTCTGAGCATCACTTCCATGTCTTTGAAGGATTGCGTTGTGAGACAGACATCATCAGCATAATCAAGATCCGTCAGATGCGATGTCAGAGTCCATTGTACTCCCCTAATATTTGCTGTGGCTTTAGTCAAAACGCTGTCGAGCACGATATTAAATAGAAGCGGCGATAATGTGCAACCCTGCTTTACTCCTGTCCCTAAGTTAAAACTGTCGCTGGTTCTACCGTTGTGCAGCACATTGCATTCTGTGTTTCTGTAGAGTTCCTTGATTATATTAATTAGTTTTTCCGGAACACCTTTTTCTTTTAGAGTTTTCCATACCATCGCATGGGGGATACTGTGAAAAGCTTTGACGAAATCTATGAATATTAAGAATAAAGGTGACCTAAATTCTATTGACTGCTCTATGATAATGCGCAATGTGTTAATATGGTCAATGCACGAGTGATTCGGTCGGAAACCAGCTTGGTTCTCTCTCAGAGTAGGCTCTATATAGGAGTTTAACTTTAAATGAACTATAGAGGATATTATCTTGTGAATGGTGTTTAACAAAACAATACCTCTCCAGTTGTCACAGTTAGTGGTATCTCCTTTTTTAGGGAGTTTAATAATGAGACCCTGTTTCCATTCATCTGGAATGATGTTAGATACCCAAGCTCTTGTAATTAGAGGATGCAGTATGTTTGCTGCTGTACTAGGATCTGCTTTGAGGAGGTTTGCAGGGACGCTATCGGGGCCGGCTGCTTTATTGTTCTTTTTCATTCATTTTCAAGTGTTTTAATAGCCTTTTGTATTTCCGTTTTCGTTGGCGTGACGCAGTTGATAGGCATTTCGATTGTTGGCTCCGGTTCCTCGTTGTCGAAATTTTGTTCACTTATTGGTCCAAGCAGGTTGCTGAAGTGTTCTTTCCATCAGTTAAGCTGTTCTTCAGAGGATGTTAGTGGTCTTTAATAACTGTATTGAAGTTACTACGTTGTCCACTCAGGTGTTTTGTTATTTTGTACAGTTCCCTCATATTGCGTTGTTATGCGGCTTTTTGTGCCTCGTTTGCTAGTTGTTCATGCCAAGCTCGTTTGTCCTTTCTGGCTGATCTCTTAACTGCTCTATTCGATACTTGATATTGTTGTGGTAAAGTAGTTTTGGTCTCGTGAGTTGAAGTTGCATTTATTCTTTGTTTTATCTGAGCTCTTTGTTCTATTAAGTTCCAAGTATCGTCGCTAAGCCATTCTTTGCGTTTTATACGTTTTCTGCCTAATGTCGCTTCAGCAACGGTTTTAAACAAGTCTGCTGCCTCGTTCCACGAAGCTACGTTAGTATTCTCCCTTTGTTGTTTGGGTTTGTTCTTAAATTTCTGGAGTTCGTTAGGTTTTCTAAGCTGTTCGATGTTATATTTCGGTCTTTTTGCAAAATTTTTATCTGTCTTTTTTAAAAGTTTAATTCTCAGTTGACCCACCACTAGAAAATGATCGCTTGCAATGTCTGCCCCGCGTCTGCTTCTGACATCCAGTAATGAGCTCCTCCATCTTTTTGAGATCAGTATATGGTCTATCTGATTTTCTGTTCGCATGTCTGGGGAAACCCAGGTTACTTTGTGAGCAGTTTTATGTGGGAAGATTGACCCGCCAATAACGAAATTGTTGTTTGAACAGAAGTTAGAGAGTCGTTCGCCGTTGTCGTTCATCACTCCAGGCCGTGTTTACCCATTACTTCCTCTAGATTGTTGTTGTCTGAACCGATTTTTGCGTTCATATCCCCCATGATAATTGTAATGTCTCCCTTGGGAGAGTCGTTTAAGGTTCTGTTCAGTAAACCATAAAAATTTTGCTTGTCTTCAACTTGAGCAGGCTCTGTGGGAGCATAGCATTGGATAAATGTAATATTTTTGATCTTAACCTTGCATCTTGCTGTTATTATTCTGTCTGAGACTGGCTTCCATGAGATTAGAGTTTTTTTTGCTGAATCACTAAGAAGAAATCCAACACCGCTTTCGTGTGCTTGTGTTTTGTCTCTGCCACTGTAGAGTAAGAGCCCTTTTGCAGATGTTGGTTGTTGGCCTTCCATCGCACTTCTGATAGCCCCATTAGACTGAGTCGGTAGGTGTTCATCTCTTTTACTGCCTGAGCAAGTTTAGAAGGTTCGTAAAGAGGCTTTTCTTACTTTCTTAAAAATATTTATACTCAAAACCTCTTAAAATAAAACAAACGATTTTCTACAAAACTTATTATTTCAAAACATAAGCTAACAGTAATTAAACATATAATAAACATTAAATATATCTTACCTAATTTTTAGAATAAAAATAAAATAAATATTGCTGATTGCGAATATTTGTCGGATTAGTAAGGATTTTAACTCGGATAGGTAACGCCTTTTGCCTACATATGTATACACGCCCCTGTTTACAGCTCACTAACAATATCATTAGAGGACTCGACAAGGAACAGAACACCATTTTAACCTTATTAGAACCTACGTTGGGGCTTCTGTTATTTTTAAGATACCTACATCGCTGATTTACCATTAGTAATTTACCACTCTAACATAGTTCCACATTTGTTGATGATACTCAATTATTTCACACCTTTGATTCTGATGGTTTGAATCAACTTGCCAAAGTGTAATGACGGCATATAATCGCTAATGAAGACTGTATGATTTTTATTGATTTCTAGAGTCTAGCTAAACTGCGCGCCATATTGTTTCAATTCATATATTTTTTTGTATAATATGTATATTGAAATTAGTGAATACAAATTTATTATTATATTACTATATTCATATTTATTATGTAAAAATAATTTTCATGTATTAGGTAAGAATCAAAGTGTATTTTAAAAAAAAAGCATTAGAATTTTTAGTATCAAAAACATAGTTATCCGTATAATAAAAATGTTATTTTATATTAATCTAAATTCATTAAATATAAATATTAAAACTTTAGCTCGACAGTTGTATGAAAAATATGTATATTTAAGTCTAATCATTATTAAAAGATGTTTTATAATATAAATATTCTGTTGTTTTACTATAGATACTTAATACTATAGAAACTTACTCAATATAAATTAATTTAAGCTACTAGTTCTAGTTAGTCCTAAGTTTTGTCTTTTAATTTAAAGACAAAACTTAGGTTTAACTAGAACTTATAGCTTAATAGTTGAAATTTGACTCTAAAAATTGAAAGAACTGCGATTCAAATAAAAGCGGTTTGTAATGTAGAATATCGGTAATGCAGGTTTCTTTAATGTGCAAAAAACTGTTCCTTATCCTACTAAATGCCGCTAAAATACGGACCCCACAATAACATGGGAGTGGGCAATCTAAAGGTTGTCTATGTACATAGCGACTGTTAAGCTAAATCGTTGTTCTGTTGATTTAGAAGTGTTTGAATCTTGTCGGCTTTATTGTTTACAAACATGGGTTCTAGAACTTTCTGGTAAGTACGAACTAAATGTAAATTATTGTAGTATAGATGCTGTTATATATAAACATGACCTTTATTTATCACTGTAAATAATCAGATCGCAATAATTTTAAAATGTCATGTTTGTACATAACCTAGAATATGCTTGGGTCGTTATCGACCCCTTGGGATTTAAAACTGTATATACGTAAAAATATTTTTTTTTCTTTAAGGTCTCGACCTCTGACTACAGCGGAAATAGAGAGTAATTTAGATGAGATTGAAAACATTGACAATCAAATCGACATTCCTGACGGTATAGTTATTACTCCCCCAGACGATTTTTCGGATAACACGGATTGCGATTCAGGAGACGAGGATACCAATAATCCAGATCATTTGAACCACAATCAGTTATCAGCCGAGGCCGAGTACTATTTTGAAAATGATCACCAAACACCAAATAGAGCTTCCCACTACAAATACACTCGACGAATGGGACGAAGAGGACGACCTTCCTTTAGCCATGATCTAAACCTCTAACGCTAAATTGGAAAAATGGGGATCTCTCCTCTATAGAAAAATTCACCACTCTACCTCCCCCAATAACACTAAATGCGGACAGCCCTGCATTGCAATTTTTTGAACCAATGTTATCACCTGACATTATCGCAGATCTTGTCAAATATACAAACATGTATGCTGCAAAAAGCAATATAGAAAACTCTTCAGTTTCTACCAATGAAATATACGTGTTTATTGGCATTCTGCTTCTATCCGGATACGTTCCTTTACAGAGAAGACGCATGTAAATACTGGGAAGAAAGCGAGGACGTTCACAATAAGTTGGTATCTCAAGCTATGCTACGTAATAGATTCGAAGAAATTTCCAGTATCTTCCATGCTGCCGACAACGACAATTTACCTGTAGGTGACAAAATTGGGAAAATCCGTCCTCTGATTGAAAGTGGCAATGCAAATTTCCTAAAGTACGCTCGGATTGAACCCGACATATCTGTGGATGAGGCAATGATTCCCTATTATGGGAGGCACGGGTGCAAGCAGTATATCAAAGGAAAGCCAGTACGCTTTGGTTATAAAGCTTGGGTTGCTGCGCTAAAATCTGGATACTGCTTGCAGTTTCAAATTTACCAAGGAAGAACAACAATACAAATAAGGTAAGGTAGGGTAAATGCAATCATGGACTAAATGCAATCAGTCAACTTATTAACAAAATAAGAATATTTTTACTAATACTACTGTCGCCATCTAAGCGAACACACTCAAATTAAGAACGTCATAAGTCACAGACTCTTCGCGGCAACTGGTGTCAACTTTTTACAAATCATTTACCGAACGTAAGGGCAACATCTGTTATAAATTTGCGATTTTTGTGTGAAAAATTAAAGGTGAGTGTTCAATTTTATGTAAGATGTAAGGCTATAGGGGGGTTGTTTTTGTATTGTGTGAGTTTAAATATGAATCATCAAATATGTTTTGTATTGTATACATGATTGCACTTGCCCCATTGAAACTCCATATTGGGGCAAGTGGAATCATATTTCGGCGGGGAAGTGAAATCAATTGGTTGCAGTTTCCCGATCTATATTTTTTTCCAGATGGTCAGAAATTATATAAGAAAGACACAACGAGGACGAGGTTACTCAAAAGAAACTCTTACAGCTGCTATTCAGAGCGTAAAATCAAACGTATTAAACGCAAGAGCAGCGGCGAAAAATTACTCTATACCATAGAGTACTCTACAGTGTTATGTAACTGGTCGTCGTGGAAAAAAAAAGTCAGACAGGGGGCCGATGTACAGCACTGAAAAAGGAAGATATTCTTCATCTTCCTGCTGGTGCAATATCTGAAAACTTTGGGAAAAAGTGGTTTTGGACTATCACGGAAGAACTTTTGGATGTCATTCAACAATATGTCAATAGAACCAACATTCAAACACCCTTTAAGAATCGACACCCCGGAAAGGACTGGTTATTTCTATTTAGAAAGCGTAATCATCTAGCCATAAAAAAGTCCCAGTCTGTGGAATATGTAAGGAAAAAGCAAACTGATCCTTTTATAATAAGTGAATACTTCAATTTGCTGGAGACAACACTTCAAGGTTAAATTTGGTTGATAAACCACACCTAGTATGGAATCTGGATGAAACTAGTATGTACACCGATCCTAGTAAGGCCAAAGTTGTAGAGGAAAGGGGAAGACCATCGTCAAGAACTACTGGAGGTACCGGAAAAGAAAAGTTTACCTGTTTGGTAGCTGCTAATGCTAATGGTGGGAAAGCTTCACCTCTCGTAATTTTTAAAGGTTTAAATATATGGTCCAATTGGATACCCGCAAGCAAAGATAATAAATGCCCCAACATAACAGTTGCCGCCAGCAAAAATGGTTGGATAAATTGTGAAATCTTTATCAATTTTTTAAAGAATAATTTGGTTCCTGCATTGGGTGAAGAACGACCTCTATTGGTTATCTACGATGGACTGGGTCACATGTTACAGAAGAAGTAATCGCATTCGCAAACGCTCAAAATCTAGAAATTTTAAAATTGCCAGCCCACACAAGTTATTTGCTGCAGCCTTTGGACCTCTCCGTTTTCAAATCAGTTAAAGTAACTTGGGATGAAAATTTGTGTGTTGGCAACGAAAAAATCCAGGACGGCGTATTTCCAAAGCAGAGTTTGCACTCCTATTTGGCAAAGTTTGGGCGAACGTGGATATAAATATTATCAAAAGTGGTTTTAGAAAAGGCGGAATATTTCCATTCAACAGGGAAATACTTAGCCCTGAAACGTATGATCCTGACATATGGTTAAGATATCAAAAATTTCAGCAACAAAACAACAGGTTGACAGAAGACGCCACTGTGAATTTGGAACCTATAACAGACCAAACCGAAAAACAACTGGAGCAAAATGATGAGTTTCAAAATATTTTATTAGAAACAATACGATCAAATAATTCGGTAGTCGATCTTTTGTGAGATATCCTTAGGGTAAACATCTCATAGTTGTTCAAGATAGAAGACATTGTCAAGATGCAAAAATAAAACTAATAAGTGGTGCGAAGCTTGCGAGGTTCCACTCCACGATAAATGTTTTTTTTTGAATATCATAATAACTAGAACTTTTTTATTATTCCAATAAACGTTATTTCAACATTGATTTTTTTTATCCTGGAAACGGTCGATTTCGACCCCACTCGTATTAGGCCAATTTCTAACAGGATTCTTAAAATACCTGCTGATACCTTCATTTTATTGATAGAATAACCCCATATCGAGAGCTGAACGAATTATAAATATTAAAAAAAAAGTTAATCTGGGCATTAATGGGTTAAATATGTCGCAAAAAAGGTGTTTGAATTTAAAACAAAAAGGTGAACTGTTTTTGGTTTGGAATCCCTGAGTAAAGGTGATTGTGTGACTCTGCTTGCCAAAAAATATGGAATTGCCAAGTCAACCGTATGTGCAATAAAAAAGAAAAGGGATTATAACTAAATAGATTATCACAAACATTTAGAGGTTCAGAAAAAACAAAGACGTTAAAAGTATGTCTAGCTATTCAACATGGTAAGAGATTTATACAAATGTTTTCTAAACTTGAGAGAAAGGAATATACCGATGCTTCAGGAAAAGGCGA